AATGCAGCAAAATAAACTATTTCAAAGGTAACAGATCTTTGTAATACTTGTTTTATTTACATAATGACTTTAATTGCTGGATGTTTGGCCCCTCAGCTGTTAGTCTGTAGTAACTGTGGCCCCCAGAACAATTTATTTGAATAGCCCTGCTTTAGGGTTATGGTTAAAGGGATAGTTAAACTATTTTAAAGTGAGGTTCTGTGAAAAGGCTGTAAACAGGCAATATTTTGCCTGCATAGAAGAACTAACAGCTTGTCTAATTAGTCACAGAATTTCATGTAGATAAAAATGTATAGTTCATTTTGATAGTGATGTAAAAGTTTGTATAATAGCCTTCATGTAAACTGTTATAATATTTTTTTTGACTAGAGCTTTAAAATGAAAACAATCTACTCTACACCTGGCCCAACTAAGACTAGCAGGAAGCTTGTCAGTCTGGTCAATTAAAGCTTTTTCCACAAATCAAAGTTATTTATAGAATTATCTGCAACAAGTAAGATATTTGTTTTTAATCTGTCCCCAGAACCCAACTTCAATAAATATGAACTTCTGCTTTTAAGTGTTTGACAAAATGGAACATCCTGAGTGTGCATGAGTGTTAAAAAGAGACATGTGTTTACCTGCTGGTTGATAACCTCTAGTCTGTGTTCTTTGAGGTGTGTGCGTAACCACTCTGTGGCTCGGGATGATGGGTCAATCAGGAACGGACAGGCAACACTCTGAGTGAAGAACGTTGAGAAAACAACATACTTAGGTCCAGTTGATTTGGGAGCTCACTTTACTGAAATAAAACCCTTGTGAATGGGTGTGCACGTTGTTCAGTCTCGTCACGGAGCCGCTGTACTTATCGACCAGAATGGCTTCTATGCCAGGCAAGGGGAAATTCAGTACTCTCATATCATTATCTGAACTTCTATTTCACAGTCTGTTGCTTGTGGATTCTCCTGCTCAAACTATTTCACACACGTATATAGGCCTGTACAGCAGCATTCCCACACTTTTCATTTGTGGCAATCAAACAATTGATCCTTGAAAGAGAGAGTTAAAAAGGTGACATACTGAAACGCTCGACACACTAAAACTGATGTTAAATATTTGTCATAAACTGAATAATAAAGAAATTTAAGCATCCACATAAAAATATAAACCATTATTTAATGCACCTTAAACATTACTTGCAAACAATGCCAGTGTGCCAAAACCATGCTAGCAGGAACATTAAGCCCAAGAGCGGACCACTAATAAAAGAGATCTCAAAAACAAATTAATAATAATAATAACATCACACAATCTTCATGTTTTTTTTTGTTTTGTTTTGTTTTGTTTTGTTTATTGCAGCTGTTGGTGCCAAAGTGTGATTAAACTGAAAGAGTTTTATATCAATGGTATGAAAAAAAGTCCTTAATGTCTTAAAAAATACCTCAGAATTGATTTTGCTACCGTGTACTCCAAAACATTAAAACAACGTGCTTGAAACAGAATCATTTAGTTAAGTTTTTAGATCTCAAACCTCTTTTCCAAGGGAGGCCTGGGCCTGAAGGCAACCTATTGCATACTGTATGTTTTAATTGTACTGTATTGTTATTTTATTTATTGTACATTTTGTAGAATGAATAAATTCACAAGGCTAACAGAAAATCTCATCAAAAAGATGAGCATAAATCACAAACTCTTAAAGAAGACACTCAAGAAAGACAGTGAAAGACAAAAAAACTAAAGATGAGCTATGATGATGAATGAAGGAGCTACTGTATTCCTTACCTTTAGCTTGAGCGCATTAATCTGAGACAGCAATGGTTGAAAAAAAAATACAAAAAAATACAAACAAATGGAGGACAGATGAATGGCAATAAAGGCAAAAAAATCTTGATTTAATTTCTAATATGAGAACTGGGCATTTGTTTTGCTAAATATTAATCAGACATTAAACATTAGTACAGATCCTTCAGATGAAGTGCTGAGTTTTACCATCATTATTTTAGTGCAATTCATAAAAAAATCCAGTTGTTATGTGTCTTTCTTGTATTCAAACCCGAGTTCAAAACCTGACTCTTTACTGATATAAGTGTGATTTAAGTGTGTGTGTGTCATTGTTAAAGATAATCAGCAGTAATCACAACCCCTGTTGTGGCTATTAAAAGGAATTTGGAACAAAATTCATGTTAAAAAGAAGGTTATGAATATTTGACTAACCTGCAGTATAACCAGAGCATTCTCCATAGATAGGTCATCGGACGGCAGCCCTTCACTCTTCCAGATCAGCTGTTCACTCTCCGAGCACAAGAAGGACCGCAAGTCAAACTCTGATGCAAACAGACAAAACAAACACTTTGTTTAGGTCTCAGAGTTTTTCAAGTCATATCTTTTGGTTTATTTTTCTCCCTACTTTGTTTTTATTTTATTTTATTTTATTTTTACCCATGTGTGCCAAACTGCCTTGTTTCATTTTTCTAACTTGGTTCAGTGTTTCACTATGAGAAACGCTCCTGTGTGACCATCTACAGAAGCTCTAATGACATTAAGTCTGTCTGAGACAAACAGGTTGAGCTGTTCTCAGGACTCCACTCCCATCATAATACCACAGTCAGTGGTGGACAGTAATGGAGCATATTTACTTGAGTACTGTAGTTAAGTATGTTTTTTTTTTTTTTTGAGTATCTTTACTTTATTTGAGTAATTATTTTTTTGGGGAACTTGTGACTTTCACTCCACTACATTTCGAAGACAAATTTCATACTTTTTACTCCATTTTATTTGGTGCAGCAGAGCTTTGTAATCAGCTGTTGTTCTTTTTCTTTCTTGAAATGCCACACTATGTTCCTCACAAGGGGAACCGATCCCAGTTGTAGCTCACACCTGGGATATATTTGGAATTTACAGTACATAATTTTCGTGAACAGTCGCAAGCTGAGCCTGAGTTCCCACCTTCATTTCAAACAGAACCCAGCAGTGGAGACAGCTGAAACTCAAGCTGAGAAACCAGCGCACCCATGACCACATCTCAGCTTGGTGTTTGAGATTTTAGGACTGAAAAATAGTTTGTACCAATTTAAATGTCTTCTTTGTTCACCGTGGATAAACTACATTTCTGTATTTAAGAACTCACCACTCACTTTATTGTATTTTATGCTGAAGTCTTTACAGGTGGTGAATTTGTAGCAGAGTGGTTTTACGTGTCGATACATCAGGTGGTTTCTGAGTTACAAGGTTCTGTAAAACCACTTTTGAATTGCACTTTTGAATACTTAAATGCATGTACTTTTGAATACTTAAGTATTTTCAAAAGTAAGTACTTCAGTACTTTAACTTGAGTAGATTTTTGACCAAGTAACTTTTACTTGTAGTTGAGTAGATTTGACCATGAGTATTAATACTTTTGTTCAAGTACTAGAGTTCAGTAATTTGGCCACCACTGACCACAGTCAATCAACCACCCCAGACTGCCTTGGTTTCTTCTGTTAGTTTGGTTTGTTTAATTTGTGATAGTGATAAAACAGTTATTGGTAACTAATCTGAAACCAATGTAGGCAAATCACTACATGTTTCAATGTCAGTTTACTATCTGAACATATTATATTTGTAAAACTGCACAAGAGAATATGCAAATCCTAAAATTATGTACATTTTTCATGGTTTGATGGTATATTGACATTTGTTCTGCAAACTCCTAGGTCTGTAAACTTTTATAAAATACATTTCAGATCTTGTATGTAGGCCCTGTGACATTTCACAAGATCTACCTTTTGATTTATGTTACCAAAACATATGTCCATAACTAGAAGATAAGACGCTTTGCAGATGTGACATTTAACTTTAAATAAAATATAAAACAATGTAAAAAATTGGAGAAATGTAGAGTTCCATTAAAAAAACACTTGCTATAATAAACACATCAATATGTAATGCATTATGTTAGATGTGGTACAGTGTCTTAGGACATTGCTTTTGGGAAAAGCAAGGAATCCAAAGACAAGAGTAAACTCAAACATTGATTTTACTCACTGGAGAGAGTTTGGAGAAAATAAATGAGGGATCAGACAGATGCTGACTTAAGGGCTCGACACACGGGAGGCGACGTCGCTCGCTCTCCATTCATTTCCTATGGAGCCTGTGCGGTGAGGCGACAATCGCTTGCCCTCCTCCAGCTAAGCGACCGGCGAAAATAGTGCATGTGAAATTTCGGGCTCGTACACGTAGACGTGCACATGCAAGCTTGCGACGCGACATATGAAAGTTGAAAAATGTTCAACTTTTGTCGCTGTCGCTTAGCGTACAACCAATCAGCGAGGGTTTCATTGACTGACCAATGAGAGGAGCGTATGCTACACACTGTCGTTAGCTAACACTTTCACCAAGCAATAACTAAAAAGCTTTGTGGGAATTTATTGGCACCAGGGTGAAGTTTATGGTAAGTTTTTCCTCATAAAACTGTATCTTGATGTGTGTTTGTTTTTCAATATCATTAGCATCGCAAGATTTGTTTAGTTTACACGTCCGTAATGCACACCCTCCTTCAGAGTCAAGAACCAATCAAATTTTGTGAAGATAAGCGATCTGAGAGCGCGATTCACAACGCTGTGATCGCTATTGCGTCCCGTGCGTCGGGTTTTCACTCTGGCTGCGATGACAGCCGCTAATCGCTGTAGTTTGTCGCTGCCCGTGTGTCGAGCCCTTTATGGTGTATTTCATTTGAGCTCAGAAGCCATAATTTTAAGGTTGCAACTTAGAAAAATCAAACGAAACACACCCAGAGTTATGGTGCGTTCACACCGAACGCGATTTCAGCGTCGGGAGCAGCAGATTTACATGCAAAGTCTATGGTGGAGGCGCTTCAAGCAACGTCGGGAAGTTCTGCGGCGCCTCAAGCGCGATTAGAGCAGCGCGATTTGAACGATTTGAATGATCTGAGCGTTCAACGCGCTGAGGCGCAAATCGCTGAAGTTAGAAAATCTGAACTTTTGCAGCTTGACGCGCAGCGTCAACCAATCAGAGAGACTCCACTGTGTGACGTAGCGACATATTTCCCGACGGGACAGTTTACTGAATGATGTCCACTAACCTGAAACAGACAGAGCGGAGCTCTTTAGCTGAAATGAGTGCCTGCAGTCGTGTCCTGATCCGCACCAATGCGTGGCAGCGGCTCATCAGACTGGAAAAATAGTCCTGAAAGCGAGCTGTGAGCCTCTACTCTGAATTATCTGGTGAATTAATTATGAATTAATTATCTGATGAACGTGACATGCTCTTGCTCTCTGTAAATAAAGCAAAGCCACTTCCTCGTCCGACATTAAACAGAGCCCGACAGAGGAGGGAGGGGCGGGGAGGCTCTTCCCATGCAGCGCTTCAAGAGCTGTCCTGCGTCTGACCTCAAAGTGCACAAGCTTCAAACTTCAGCGTTGGCTGCGATTTTGAAGCTGAAATCGCGTTCGGTGTGAACGCACCATTAGACTTCTGACACGGCTGCCTCGTGAATAAAAGTGATGCTGATAGCTACAGAAGTAAACTATTTATTTGCCCTTCTGCCAGTTTGTGTCTCATTAAACCAGTCACTCACACTGTACTTTTAAACCTCAATGAGGGAACATGTTGCTACATAAAATGCTTCATAACACATTATTATTAGCTTCTATTATGGTTAACCTCATCATTGAGCACAAGAACAATCAAAACCTTTTGTTGTTATGATTTGCAGCTGTAATACAGTGAAGCTGGCTGTGAAATCATTCCCAGAGTTAAAATCTTGAAGCCAAATGGAATGCAGCAACAGAGAGGTTGCTGTTGGACTGGCAAGTTATGATCAATCAGTTTGTTATCAAATTATTTTTGCACATTTGCCTAAATTATGAAGTTTATCATATAAAGGTACAGCCTTCTTTTGAGCATACAGTATATCATAATGTTATCACCAAATGAATCAGAATGATGATGAGTCAATGCTTGGTATACAGTATATAAATCTGTGACACAACTAGACTGTGCAGGTACTAAGATTTTTGTTGAGTTACGTTGTCAAATATTAGGTGAGTTCATAGTTAGTTCATACTTCAATTCTGAACTACTATGTCCCATTCAGTTGTTATGAAAATGCTGTATATATCAAAAATGAAATTGATTTTGCATCATAGATGCCTTAAAATTGGTCTCTGTCCCTTTAAAAAACCTCCTACCGTTTTAGACACTCCCACTTCAGCACTTCTTCACAACAATGCTTCATATCACAACAATGCTTCACATCACATTATAATGTGATGTGAAGCTCAAAACAGTTGATTTTGCATAACCACAAACTACTGACACAGTTACAAAATGCACAGAGCATAAGAGAATGCAGCATATGTATGACACAGGGCACTGGGCCGGTTTGTGCCGGGTGTAAGCACCAAAGTCTGCATTTGCTGGTGTTAAAAGTACTATTAAAAAGTGTGTTACTCTGTAGTCCAGACTGAGCCATCCAAATCTCCAGACAGTGTCTTCGCCGGTCTTCAGAAGCAGCGGACAGATAGGCGATGAAGGCTGCAGCAAGTAAAGCCCTGATGGGGAGTGTATCCAACTCACTCTTTATCTCAGACATCTGGAAACAAAAGCGGACGAGACGGCGGTGACTGCTGAGCAAAAAGAATGGTGAACAAAAAAAATAAATTTACAAGACAAGGGAACAACAGGGGTTTGTCAGGAATCGGAAGTAAGAATAAACAGCTGGGAGAGGATGAAAGAAAAGAAAAGTGGTAAATGAGAGTAACACACTTCCATGTGTTGATACCACTGACGTTACTGCTGTAATTTCCAGATGATCAGATTTCTTTTGAAGTGTTCCAGTAGTGTGAAGGATGATAACAAAGGCATGTGCACAGCTTTGGTCATTCACATTAAGCTTAATCGCTCAGCTTCAGGACTACTGTATGACCACATCTCTGAATCTGTAGGTTCTTGAGACATTGTCTCTTTTCTGCTGCATAAGTACAGTAAAGCAATGAACCATTTTCTACTCTTTAACTAAAAATCTGTGTATTTCTGCACCACTTACTCTGCAGTTATGCACAAAATCTGAATAACTGTTGGGGTCTTGCTTCCTTTCAGAACGTTAAGTAGTCTAAACACATTAACATATTGCTACCCACAGCTATTGTTGAGTATGCAAAACAGTGCCAGTGTGCAAGTGTGTGTGTGTGAATGTATGGAAATACGTGAGCAGAAAGTAAACTTGCTCTCTGGTGCAGGCCTTGAGTGTAGGTGTGTGTGTGTGTGTTAGTGTGAGTGAGTGTGTCAGCATGAGATTGAGTGTTTTAATTAAGGCACAGACAGATGCTGTGGAGAGGACTAAAAACAGCCAAAGGGGACCCAAGGCAGTGAGATTCATCCCTCTATGTCACACACACACACACACACACACACACACA